TTAGGAGAGGCCATGACACTAGAGGCATCACAACTAAAGTCAGGAAGGTGGATCTTGGCTGAAAGCAGAGAACCAGAGAAATGTCTTTTGTTGACTATGCAAAGGCTGTATGGTATGGATCACAACAATTTTTGGTTAACCTTGGAAAAAATGGAAATCCCAGAACACCTGATGGTGCTCATGTGAAACCTACACCTGGACCAGGAAGCAGTCATCAGTACAGGGCAAGGAAATACTGCATGGTTCAAAATCAGTAAAGGAGAGCATCAGGAATGCATCCTGTCTCCATACCTTTTCAATCTATATGTGAAACAGATCATATGGAAGACTAGACTTAAGAAGAATGTGGCACCAGGATAGGAAAAAGACTCATTAATAACCTGTATTATGCAGATGCCACAACCAGCAGATGCTTTCTAAAACTGAGGAGGACCTCAAGCATTTGCTGAAGAAGGGCAAGGACTGCAATGCAGTCTTCAATATAGAATGAAGTTCAACATCAAGAAGACAAAGACTCTCACCACAGGGCCAACTGGCAACACTGTGTAGTTGGAGAAGAGACTGAGATTGTTAGTAATTTCAGCTTGCTCAATCCCACAAACAACACTCACGTACTAGCAGTAAGGAAATTGAAAGATGAATCGCATTAGGAAAGTCTGCTGTCAGGGACCTCTCCAGAGTGCTAAAGTACAAAGATGTCAGTCTAGAGATTAAGGTGCACCTGATCCAGCCTTTGCAATAACTTGCTATGCATCTAGGAGCTAGATAATGACTAAGGATGACAAAAGAATTGATACCTTTGTTTTGTAGTTCAGAAGAAGAGTTCTGAAGACACATGGACTGTCAAGAGAACAAACAGGTTTGTCCTGGAAAGGGTGAAACCAAACCGCTCCTTAGAGGTAAGGATTTTCAGACTTGGTCTCACATACTCATACTTTGGGCACATAGCCAGGAGAGACCAGTCCTTGGAGAAGGACACCATGCTTGGAAGGGTAGAGAGAGTGCAAGAGAGGAAAAACCTGGATTAGATGAATTGATACAGTAACTGGGGCAATGTGAGTAGATGTGTCAGAATCAGGGAGACTAGCTCAGGATAGGACAGGGTTCAGAGCTGTTATGAATAGGGTCGTTATGAGTCACAGGCAACTAGACAACAACTAACAACAATAATTCCTGAAAAACCTGGAAAGTAGCATCTCTCAGGAGCATTTTAATTTTTAGTTGACTATTGAAATAAAAATTGAATATGATCATTTATTAAAGACATAAATCAATCACTCGAGTTCCTACCTTTACTGTTCTAGGGCAACAGCTTCTGATACATAAACACAAAGTGTGTGGAGTCTATTGAAGCGAAAGGCCTGAGGGGAAACATACTGCCCTTTTTAGAATCATTCCTCCCATCAGCCTCATCCTCTAAGGTCCATTAATTACAGACTGAAATTTCATTAGGCTGGTTTTTTCCAAATTCTCTGAGAACAATGTAATACATTAAAACATATGTGATTTATGTTTCCTTCCATACAGCTTTAGAAAAGAAAGAAGGAAAAGGGGGGAAGCAATGTTTCCTCTTAGAAAAGAATCTCACTGGTTATGAGTAAGAAGACGGGACATTAAAAAGTAATTGCAGTGGCAAGGAGCTGCCACTACAATCCCAGAGGCGCACGGTTCGAATCCACCAGATGCTCTGCCGGGGAAGGAGGGGCAATCTCCTCCTGTATCAGTCAGATCTGATTTGACGGTACATGCACACAAAAATAATAAAATAAAATTTTTTTAAAAAAAGATATAAAAAGAAATTTTAAAAAAAATTAAAAAAAGTAATTGCAAAGAAAATGTAATGCTTTTCTCAGCATATCTGCTCAGTCTCTTCATTTTGATATTGGGCAAAACTCTAAACAATTTTTGTCACTCAATATATGATAAATGAAGGTGGTATTTATCAGATGGTCATTTTGAGCACAACGACATGCGTTCAGACCTCCATAAAAGACATACGCCACAAAAGAATGGAAAAGTGCATCTTCTCCCCCAAAGGATATATAATTTTAAATTAGGTTCTCCCTCTGAACCTTACCTTCAGTTCAACCTTCAGATAGGTGGTAAGATGTACTTTGTAGGCTGTACTCTAATTGACAGCATTTAACAGTACAACATAGCAACCCCATGAACAACAGATCTAATTCCTGTCCTATCTTGTACCAACTTCACAATCTCTGACACACTTGAGCCTACTGTTACAGTCACTATGTCAATCCAACTGGTAGAGGTTCTTCCTGTCCTTGGTTGTCTCGCCACTTTTCTAAGCACGAAGGAATAGCTTGAAGGAATAGCCTCTGCTTGAAGGAATAGCCTTTCCTCGCATGATCCAAAGTACATGAAATGAAGCTTCACCATTCTTGTCTCCAACAGGCACTCTGGCTGCACCTTCTCTAAAACATGTGTTTGTCATTTTGGCCGTCTGTAGGAAATTCAATACTCTCCTCCAATACCACAAGGCAGGAAGAAAATCCTAATACCAACATTCTTCATCATGGAGTCCAGCTTCTCGAATAATCTGTTCAGCATATAGCTATTGAATAGGTATGGACAGATGATACAACCGTGATGCATGTCTTAATTAATTTTAAAGTATGTAGTAGACTCAGACTAGAGGAGCTGCAGTAGCAGAGGTAAGGGAGAACCAGATACCGGTGTGAGACAGAGCTTAACTAGACCTGTTATCACACAGAGCCAGAGCAGAAGGTCTAGGCTTACTGGCACAGTGGAGGGAAACACCATATCCTGCAGAACTAACTAGGCTTTCTGGCCTGTGGTTGGAATCTACAAGCTTCTCCGAGGGAAGATGAGTAATCTCCTCCCATGCAATTTAATGCTTCTGAAAACTTGCTGGTGGGTCAGCTACCAGTTGATTCCAACTGGCAGTACACCATCATTACCACCACACTGGCCCAGAGCTGTCCTGAGTAAAGAACTGTATCATGAATGTTTCTGACAGAAATTATAGCTATTCTCTAAGAAACCATATAGTCGTGTGAGGGGGAAGAAGAAAAAAGAAAAGGAAATGAAAATTCTCACAATTGGACTAATAATTAACATCATGACAAAGAGAGGCCAGAAGAGAATTTCATTTTACTTGAATCCACAATCAATGCCCATGGAGTAACAGTCAAGAAACCTCACAATATATTTTATTGGACAAATCTGATATCAAAGACCTCTTTAAAGTTTCTAAAAGCAAAAATATCTTTGAGAATTAAGATAACCCATGCCCTAAACCATAGTATTTTCAAACTAAATATACAAGCTTGACAGTGAGAAAGATTAAAAAAATGATGCCTTTTTGTATTATGGGGCTGAACCTATGTACAACAGATTTCCAGAAGATTTAATAAATCTGACTTGGAAGAAATGAAACTAGAATACTCCTTAGAATGCTTCTGGATCAGCATACACTTGGTAAAGCAAAGGGAGACCTTCAATGAGATGAACTGGCATAGAGACCCCAAGGCTCAAACATGGCACAGGATTGGGCAGTGTTTTTCTATTGTACATAGGATGCTGAGTCATAACCGAGTGCAAGACACCTAATAACAAAAAGCAGACCTTGCATTCCACACCGCCAAAAGTCTGTTATCAGCATATATGATTGCAATACACACAGTAATAACATCATTAAAAACTCTTTAATGAAAATCAAACCTACTGCTATAGAGTCAATTCAGTCGGGCTGTAAAACTTTATACAGAGGGATTTGAACAACTATCCTTTTGGTTACGTCTCGATAAGAGCACGCTAAGCTAGCAGGTATCCCAAATCAGTACCTGATAGAATTTGTTGAGTATATCGAGTCAGAAATCACTCATAACTGACCCTCCAGAGGGTTTTCAGAAGCAGTTCATCGCTTACTTCTCCCACGAAGGAGCTGGTGGATTTAAACCATATGCCTTCGGAATTGCAGCGCAGCTTCTTACCACCAGGCCACCAAAGCTCCCTCACTGACATGACTAAATCCCATCGCATCAATAAGGTTAAATGCAGTACTGAACACTAGAAAGGTGCAAAAAGAGTATCACTGCAAAGTACCGCTTGGGAACTCAACCACTTTTACTTAGCAGTGACAGAAGTTAGCATCTACAACTAGGAGCTAGGACTGTTTCATCGCTTTACGCCATTCTGCACAAGAGAACAAGCAAGGGGACGTTTTGAATCCGCCTGCTACCAACCAGGAAGGAAGTTCTGTCGGCCAAGTGGGCTCACTGGGCAGGTACTGGAGGTCTGAAGAGCTCTTATTTCCGGAGTTGAGAGCAGTATCTTTTCTGGCTCAAAAGTAAAGGTTTATGGCGGCTTCCTCTCCGCCAGACAGCTGCTAACGTTTCACCTAGCTTAGTCAAACTTAGCACGGTTTTTCTGGACCTCAGAAGCAAACTAGAAAGCATACTGACACAGAGGAAGATGGCATGGAGACCAGGACGGGGCAGGGGCGTGGAGCGAAGGAACGCACGACCCTCACAAATCCTGGGACAGATACGCTCGAACCCTACTCCACCACAATGCACGCATGCGTGCGGACCCTCGGCCCGCGGACTGGCCGGTGAAAGAGCCCTTCAACCGCGCGCCGAACCACGCTAGCGAGTTCGCGCATGCGCAGCAACCTCGGCCCGCACAGTGGCGCCTTTTCAGAACGGCGCGCCCAAGCCCCCGCCACCCGCTGTGGGTTCGCGCACGCGCAGCGCCAATTTTCACCGCAGCGCCAGCAGGCCCGTGCGCGCCACTCACCGTACGCCCAGCCCCCCGCCAGCGAGAGCGCGCACGGCAACGCCTCGGCTGCGGCCTCGGTGGAGGTGTTACCCCACCCCCACCCCCATGGCCACACCTTAGTGGTCGCCGCGCCCTTTAGTCGAGGTGTTGGGGCGGCGAAGCGCCGATGGGGCGGGCGGGAGCGCCTGGGAGCGGTCTACCTACGCTCGCGCTCCCTCTCCACCCTCTGTCCCCTTTACCTCCGCGTAGGCCGTGTCCGCGTCTGCCCCGCCTTCTGGGTAGCAGTTACCGCTCCGTCGGGGGCGCCGCGCCGAGTTGGCGCCTCCCTCTGAACCGGCCGGGCCGCGGCGGGCTGCACCCCGGTACCCGCCCGGGAGGGGAGCGCGCAGGGCGCAGGAGGCCAGCAGTGCGCGGACTTCTCTCCTCCTCTTGGCTAGCGCCTGGACCCCGCGTCACCCCTTTCCTCGATAATCCCCCTGAAGGATACCCCTCACACGCACACACCTCCAGAGTTGAGGTCTCCAGGGTTGGCACTGTGGAGATGGCTGGCCTGTCAGGATGGGGTGTATATGAGCCTGGAGCACCCTTTCTCTGAGCCTCTGCCTCCTTGTCTTCCAGTGGTGCTGGCCTCTGCATCTGGGAAATCCGGCCACTACACATCTGCCTGAGATCCTGTGTTAAGACAAAGGACAAATGCCAACATTGTATAATGAATGATGGGGGTGACCTGGGTTACCTTGAGGCGCCCAGATCTAGCTCAGCCACACTCCATTTGTTTGCAGTAAATTCTCAAATGACACTGCACTTCTGTTGTCTTAGCGGGTTTGGGTAACATGTACTGCAGCTCTTAAGTGTGTGATCATTGTTCCCTTACACATAGACTTGAGTGGATTTGGGTAAGATCCTCTGCCCTTCAATGTTAATACCTTTATCTGATGATATGTGCACTCAGACTGACTTCGACCCATAGTGACCCTAAGAACAATAGCTCTGAACCTCTCCTATCCTGAGCCAGTCTGACAGTCTCTGACACAACTGCCACATTGACTGTGACAATCCGTCTGCTCCAGGGTCTTCCTGTGCTGTCCACCCTTCCAAGCATGATGTCTTTCTTCAAAGACTGGTTTCTCTTGACAACATGTCCAAAGAAGGTGAGAGGAAGATTCAAAATCTTTGCCTACAAGGAGCAACTTGGTTTCACCTTCTCTAAGACAAATCTGTTTGTTCTCTTGGCAATTCATGGTATGTTCAATACTCTTCTCAAGCAGCACAACTTAGCATACAACTGGTTTTTATACTGACTTTTGAAATGAAGCCATTTCAACAAGTAAAGGGTTTGCCAATAGGAGCACAGCCAGAATGGCTGGGATTCCAACTCAGAGTGACCAGGTCAGTCTTTTGTTTGGTCTGGCACTTGTCAGTTCATTGAAAAAAAAAGAGTAATTGTGGAAAGTTTAACAGCCTGGAGCTGCTTCAGTTGGCAGACCTGTCTCTAAACAGTGCATAGCCCATGGGACTACAGAAGGAGGCAGACCTTTATTTGATTTTACAGGATATTACATGCCTATTATTACCTAAGATTGACTGTCAGATACGTTTGGGCCTTTGGATGGAAGCATTAACTGAAAGAGCAGTGTTGAGTATTTATTAAAACAGATAATAGTATTTATCTAAGGGAGAAGGTGTCCAGTCCAGGGAAATTTGTCAGATAAGCTGGGTTTATCACTTTACATGCCTTTGTTATACTGCAGTTACTGGTGATAGTCCTATCTCACTAGAGTGTAAAGAGGGAGTTCTGGTGGCCGAGTCCAGTTAGGCTTCTAACCCAGAGGCCAGGCTTTTCTGACAGTTCCAGTCCACCATCGGCTCTGCAGAAGAAAGATGGACAGACTCCTTTAGTGCAATTTGTGGTCTTTGAAGAAATGGTGGAGGGTCAGCTCCAACCCAGTGGCAATGAGAGATTATGAAAGGAAGCTTTGATATAGTCAATAAAGGGTCTCAATGGTAACCCCAAAGCTGAACTTCTCTGGTGGTCCGAATCCACCAGATTCAGGGGAAAATGGGCAATCTTCACCCATGTGACTTACAGCCTTGAACACCCAATGGAGGATCACCTCTGATTCTGTAGATGACTCTGAGTGTGAGTGAGTGAGAGAGATGATGAGACTCTTCAGGGTACAAAGTCTAATTTATCTTCCCATAAAATGCTGAGCAAATGTTTGTGGATTGAAATTACATTGATTGTGTTTATTCCTCAAATATTCTTCCATCTGGCATTCAGAGACCTACATGTGTAACACAAGCTTATTGTCTACTTTCATTTGGGATGATACACTGCAGCCTAGATAATATGATGTGAATGATTGCTCTCTGATTTAAAATGATGGCCATTTACCTTGGCTTAGACCTTGATCTCCTTTTTCTTTCCTCTTCTCTTCATGGCAAAACTGCATAAAATAACTCACGCATTGCTGTGTTGACTTGGAACTTGCTCATCACTGACCCTCTTTTGGAGTTCAGAAGTATATAAATTGCACAGAAGGAGAACTCCTTCTTTATGTCTTAGAGTCAAACCCCCAAAGAGATTTGGGCTTTAGGCTAGTGATATAATTCCCTAAAAATTATTATGCCACCATAGTGTCCTATAAAACAACTTCTCATTGTTGTCTGGTGCCATCAAGTCGACGGTGATTCATTGCAACCCTGTGAAAAACAAATATGAAGGTTACCTATTCTGTTCCATCCTCGCCATTTCTGACATGCTCCGGTTTATTACAGTCACTGTGTGAATCCGTCTTCTTGGGGGTCTTCTCTTTCTCTGAACCTCCACCTTACAAGCATGATGTCTTTTTCAAGGACAAGCTCTTCCTGACAACATGCTTGAAGTATGTGAAATGGAGTTTCACCATACTTGCCTCCAAAAAGAACCCTAGTTGCCCTTTTCCAAGAGAAGCTTGTTTGTTCTTTTAGTTTGTTCTCATTTATCTTTATGGGATAAGCTTTTCACCAACCTGCTGCAGTTTTTTCAGATGCATAGGAAACAATTGAAAGGATCACGGCTTGGCTCAGGCACACCTTGGTCTTTAAACTGACATCCTTGCTCTTTAGCACATTGGAGATGTCCTTGAGAGCAGATTTTTCTTTTCATTTTATATTGGTTGCCTTACAAAGTTCATATACATTGTGTTTTCCCATGAATTATGTTTTAAAAAATTAATCAACATTGGACCTTGCTCATCATTACCCTATCTTTTCAATTCCCCACTGGATCCTTCACATTTTCTCCACCCCCTCCCTCCACCCACCAAAGTGTGCAACCCTGTGGTTTCATGTCTACCCATCCTCACCCCTCTGCTCCCACCTCTTCCCTCCTTCAGTCCCCATACACGTTTTACTAGTTATCCTTGTATTTTTACAATAATGGTTTTATGCAGTATTTGTCCCTATGAAACTCAGTTCACTCAGCATAATGTTCCCCAGTCTCTCCCAAGTTATGAAGTTGTGTTTGTTTTGTTTTTTTTAAATCATTGCCCCCGAGTGCTAATAGTATTCCATTGTGTGAATGTACCATAATTTCTCAACCCATTCAGTTCTGGTTGGACATTTGGGCTGTTTCCATGTTTTGATTTCTTGACTACTGTTATCATGGGTGTTGATTGTGAAGCCAAGTAAAGTGAAATCATTGACAACTTCAATCTTCATCTATCACAGTGCTGCCTTTTAGTCCAGTGATAAAGATTTTTGTTTTCTTGATGTTGAAATATAATCCATATTGAAGACTGTAGTATTTGATCTTCTGCAGCAAGTGCTTCAAGTTCTCTTCACTTTTCAGCAAGCAAGGCTGTTTCAACTGCCTAACACAGATAGTGATAAGTCTTCTTCTAATATTAATATTTTATTCTTCATAAAAGTCAGCTTCTTGAATAATTTTCTATGCATTCAGTTTGAATACATATGGAAAAAGGATACAACCCTGACACACACTTTTCCTAACTTTAAACCATGCAGTGTTCCCTTGTTCTGTTTGGATAACAGCTTCTTCTGCATATAGGTTTTTCATGAGCATGAGCATAGTTAAGTGTTCTGGTATTTCCATTCTTCTCAATGTTAGCCATAATTTATTAAATTCCTTTGCTTAGTCAGTAAAACACAGATAAACATTTCTCTGGTGTTTTGTGCTTTCAGCCATGATCCATCTGACATCAGCAATTATATTCCTCATTCCATGACCTCTTCTGAATCCAGCTTGAATTTTTAGCAATTCCTTGGCAATGTACTGTTCCAGCTATTTTTTAAACCAATCTTCATCAAGATTTTATTTGTGTATTGATTCATTGATTCAGTGACTGAGACAATGATGGTAGGTGTGTCAGAGACAATAAGATTGGCACAGGATAGAGCAGGGTTCAGAGCTGTTGTGTATAGGGTTACTGTGAGTTGTAGCTGAGTCGACGACAAATAACAACAATAGGATATTAATGGTAAAAAAAAACCCCTAGTGGTTCAATAATGTATACTGCACTGAAACAGAGGAGGGAGAGAACCGTTTAAAAGAGAGATATAACTGGGTATTTCTGTCATCACAGGAGACTAGAGCGAGGGCTACATGGTGGAGGGGACCTGGGGGAGGGTTTGTAAAACAATGAAAGAATCTTTTCTTTTACTTTTCCATAATTTTTGGACTCATGTACTTATAACTTGTTAGTCAAATTTGTGTCTTCTAGGTTGCAACACCCCCATGATACATCTTCAAGGATATGAACATGTACAGCCAAGCACAATCAATAAGAGTGCATCTAAATTCCAAAATCAATCTCCATAATAGTCTATGTGTTTCCTACTGCCAAAGGGGCCCTTTAGAGTAGTGAGAGAAGATCTTCAACCTGAAACCCACAGCGTCCCTTTTCAGCAGGAAGTAGCTAAGAGAATACGCCATCCCCTTTTCCTTATGACTCAGGGTGAAGTCTCTCTCAGGGAGGAGTGATAGGGAATGGCAAAGGACACACTGACAAAGAAGATTAATCAGAACTGGCTTTGACAAGCACTGTGGCATTTGGACAAGAACAAACTGGGAGGAGGGTAGAGAGAATAGTGCAACAATGAATGAGTGGAAGCCCAAAATCTCTGTAAATGTTTATGAAAATTAATAAAATATAATTATAGAAAAGAAGAGAAAAAAAAACAAACCCTAGTGACCAACTTTTCTGTTCAGTAAATCTATTTTTCCTCTGATCATCACTAGAGCTAAGTTGTCTCACTATCAATCAAATTTGGAGTTAATTTATAACACAAGACTAAAAAATTAACAAGCCTCATTGCAATCAAGTAGGAACTGGCTCGTAGCTGACCCTCCAGCAGGTTTTCAGAAGCTGTAAATAGCACAGGAGGAA